GCTGCTGTAGCGATCCTCACTAATCTGTTGAAAGACTAAGTCGAAGCCGCTAACCAGCGTGAACAACGTATGGGTGATCTTGTGACTCAGGCTTTGCAGGGCAGACAAGGGGGCGAGCCCGCAGACGAGGCCGTCGCCGAGAATTCACAATCCACGACCAGCAGACTTCGCCTTCCACCGTCAGCCACCCCAGCACCGCGGCTAGCCACCTCCGCTAGTCTGAGAGAGTTCTCGGCCTGGCGAGAGAAGCGCAAAGGCTACCGTCTTCTCACAGACCTCGACTCCCTCCCCATCAAAGAGCAACGAGCAGCGCTACTGGCACTCCTCGACGATGAATGGACGCGAGTCGTGCGCTATTCTCTGGACGTGAGCGACACCACTAAAGGAGACAACCTGCTGGACAAGATGGAGAAGCACCTCAGAAGCCTTAGGAGCGTCATACTCGACAGGAAGGAATTCTACACAAAACCGCAAGCAGATGGAGAGCCGTTCGACGATTACCTGATGGCGATAAAGGAACTGGCGGAATTCTGCGACTTCTGTGCCCACTGTATGGACGACAGACTCAGGGACAGGATCGTAACCGGCATCCGGTGTGAGAAAACGCTGCGACTTCTTCTCGCCATCGCTGACGCTGCAGAAGGCAATCGACATCTGCCAACCGTGTGAAAACGCACCACAGAAGAGCGAAGCGCTCCGCGGGAGCCACGCTCGCCGTGTCCGCCTACCGCCGTGGCCGGAGCCGGGACAGCAGAGGTAGACGGGACAGCCCAGACAGCCGACAAAGACGGAACAGCCCAGACGATCGTGGAACACGATCCAGCATGGAAAGACGGGACGCCAGCTACAGACGAGGCGACGACTTCAGACGAGGCGACAACTACAGGCGAGACGACGGCTACAAACGAGACAACCGGTCGCATAGTCGCGAGAGGCGATGCAGTACCGTGCCGAACCATGGCGTCCCAAGGAGCAGATGGCCTCTTGCCCAGCCAGAAACACGACGTGTAGTGCCTGTTGCATCAAAGGACACTGCACATCAGTCTGCAAGCGGGCCAGACGGAGCAACACGTGGTCAGACTGCGGAGAACGACAGACGTCCGACAACCTCCATGTGAACGACGTGCGCGTTCAAGGCGTGACCGCCAAGAAGACGCCACAAGTGTTTCTCCTGATCAGCCATCAGTGAGGTGAAGAATCACTCCTGTGGACCCCACATGCTGGTGCCGAAGTCTCCGTCATCGGCACCAAAGAAGCAGAGCGGATCGGCATTGACTCCTCGCAGCTGACACAGCCGGCCGACAGTCTCCTGGCCGCTGGAGGGCATCAGCTGGAGTGTACCAGCACGTTCCAGTGCAAGTTGACCATGGGACGACGCCAGACGTCGAACACCGTGACAGTTGTGACAGGCGTAGACGCGGCCCTCCTGTCATGGCATGACTCCATCGCGGTTGGCATCATCTCGCCTGACTTCCCGAAACAGATCTACAGTGTCACAGGAACAACGACGCAACATACTGCTGCTGAAGAGACGACGTCTACACCCGTGACGACTCAGGACGTTCAAGCAGCAGAAGTCAGCCCGTCCCTCCCAAGATGGAAACCAGACGACGGGGACCCGACGCCAGCCCAGAGGGACCAGCACCTGGACACGCCGAAGAAGGCGTTCCCGAGAGTGTTCAGCACCCAGCCACCGCTGAGGGAGATGTCAGGTGGTCCAATGCGGATCGATCTACGGCCAGGCGCTTGTCTGTACGCTGTGACAACCGCCAGACACATCCCGCATGCATGGCGAGACGACATCAAGCATCAGCTGGACGACCTGATCGCACAAGACGTCATGACGCCCGTAGCACACCCGACTGAGTGGTGTCACCCGATGGTCCAGTGTCGAATTCGCCCACGGACCGAAGTCACGGCAAGACCTCCGTACGCATGTGCGTGGATCTGACCAGACTCAATCTCTACGTTCGACGTAGAGCGCATCCAGCCACCACGCCTCACGATGTCGTCACCGGAATCGAGCAAGGGAGCCGGTACTTCACGAAGCTGGACGCGAAGTCAGGATACATTCAGATCTCGATGGCAGAGGAAGACCAGGACCTGACGTGTTTTATAACACCCTGGGGACGCTACAAGTTCAAACGCGCCGTCATGGGCCTCTGCACGTCCGGAGACGAGTATGGACGGCGTGGAGACGCAGCACTGGCGGGCCTGCCGAAGGCGAACAAGGTGACCGCCGACATCCTGGCCTGCGATGACGACTGCTCGACCTACCTTCTGCACGTGGCCCAGATTATTCAGCGATGTGACAGCCATGGCATCACCCTGAACCCGGCGAAGGTGACGTTCGCCGCTCAGACGCTAGACTTCTGTGGCCATGTCATCAATCCTGACGGCTACACAGCAGACTAGCGCACGGTGCAAGCTATCGCTGACTTCCCCGTTCCAGAGAACCTCACAGACTTAAGGAGCTTCATGGGACTGGTCAACCAGCTCGGAACGTTCTCGACGGACACAGCCAGGACAGCCGAGCCTTCACGCGACCTGCTGAGACCGCGGAGCCAGTGGACGTGGACATCGGTGCACCAGGCAGCGTTCGAAGCCGTCAAAGCAACGCTCGTCACCCCTCCGATCCTGGCCTACTTCGACCCGTCAGTGCCAACCGCAGTCCACACAGACGCATCACGACTCCGAGGCCTGGGCTACGCGCTGCTGCAGCGTCACGGCCAGGAGTGGAAGCTGGTTCAGTGTGACTCCAGATTCTTCTCTGAGGTCGAGTCACGCTACGCTGTCGTGGAGCTCGAGATGCTGGCGGTGACCTGGGCCGTGCGCAAGTGCCACATCTATCTGGCTGGAATGGCAGAGTTCAGCCTCGTCACCGACCACAGACCTCTGGTGCCCATCTTCAACACCAGGTCTCTGGCGGAGATAGAAAACCCCAGGCTTCAACGACTACGAGAGAAGCCCATGGCATACGCCTTCACAGCCGCCTGGAAAACTGGAAAGACTCATCAGCTCCCAGACGTGCTGTCAAGGTCACCCGTCGATCAGCCGAACCCTGAAGACCAGGAAGCTGAACACGACGCGACGTACCAGACGCGCAGTGTCCTCCTGACACGCCCCACCGACGGCGGCGAAGACGAAGCGGGATCTACACCGTTCCAGGACGCTCTGCCGGAGAACGTCAAGGATGTTGCCAGCGCGATCGAGGCATACCAAAAGGTGGCTGAGACCGTCATGCAAGGTTTTCCCGACCACAAGGCAGACCTCGCCAGTCTGGTTCATCCCTACTGGGACGTCTGAGAGCGCCTATCCATCGAGGACGGCCTTCTTGTCTGTGGAGCACGGCTCGTCATCCCGTACAGCCTGCGACGTGAAGTGCTCGAACGCCTTCATGACAGTCACCAAGGCGTCGACAGGGCAAAGCGGCGCACCAGACAGTCGGTGTACTGGCCGAACATCGACCAGGACGTCCACAATTTCGTGACATTATGTCGCCACTGCCATGAGAGACTGCCCAGCCTGCAGAAGGAGCCACTCATGACCGACCCCAAGCCGACAAAAGGCTTCCAGTCCGTGTCAGCGGACTTCTTTCACCACGCAGGAAAGACGTTCCTCGCGTACGCCGACAGACTTTTCGGTTGGCCCATCGTCGTCTCCTGCAACAGAGAAGTGACATCACGGACCCTCGTCTGCTCTCTGCGCGAGATCTTCTCCTCCATAGGGGAGCCAAACGTCCTGAGAAGCGACGGAGGCCCACAGTTCACGGCGCACCACACCAGGGACTTCCTCGTGCGCTGGGGGTCAGACACGTGCTATCAAGTCCGCACTACCCGCAGTCGAATGGCCACGCAGAATCAGCAGTCAAGCTGGTCAAACGACTCCTGCAGGAGACGTCTGTGGCCGGCAACACGGACTCCGACGGGTTCGCCCGAGGCATCCTGGAGATCCGCAACACGCCCCGGGTGGACGGACGCTCATCCGCCCAGATCCTCTACGGGCATCCAGTTCGGTCGGCGATCCCCATGCACCATCGCGCCTTCCACAAAGCTTGGCAGAAGGCTGCGGAGGACTGCGACCGGAAGGGGGAGGATGTGATGAGAGCGACGACTACAGCCTACGACAAAGGAGCAAAGCCACTGCACCCGATCCGAATCGGCACGAAAGTGAACATACAGGACAAGGAGACAGGACTCTGGGACAGAATGGGAGAGGTCGTGGCCATCGGGAAAATGAGGGATTACCTGGTAAAGTTCCCCAGCGGTCGCACCATGTGGCGGAACCGACGGTTTATTCGTATGTACCGGCGCGTTTACGCCACGCAGGGCGATCCGGCCCCGCACGTAGCGACGTCGCACCGAGACCAGCTCCAAAGAAGGTGCGGTGAGTGGACCAACCCAGGACGGTGGCGTCGCGTCGAGGCAACCGTCAGCGGAGGGCCCCGGAGAGGCTAGAGGTCGACCCGAAGGTCAAGACCTACCGATCGAACCGGGGGGAGGTGTGGGAAACTGGGCCAAATCTGGGAAAAGCCCGTTTGTTCGCAAAGTTTCGTAGTAGGCTTCAACGCTGTTCACCGTTAAGCCCGCCCAAAATATGTTGTAAAACGAAGTCCTTGGTTTGAAGAACAGGTTGAGTCCATGACCCATGTCTTTGTGGGGTAGGTAAGGAGACATTCTTTTAAAAAAAATGATAAGAAAATATTAGCGCAATTTAGGCATCAAGATATTGACGCTGTTGAGTACAGCTATCAGGCATTGTGTTGTTTGGTGACCCCTCAGTTAGTTTACATATCCCTGCTGTTGCGAATTCCCACAGTGTCAACAGCCGTGCACCAACGCACGTCTTGGCACGTTCTGGAAAACCACGGCAGAGAACGCCGCACCGTGCCCGACTACGAATTACACGAGTAAACGGAGCCAGCCCTTCCCCAGGCAGCTCCTCTCCCAGAATCAGCGACAGAAATTTCCCGGTCTAGTGTGCAAACACAGGCGTCACTGAGGTAATGTTGACGCTCGGGGGACCTCCAGGCTGCTCCACTCATGTATAAAACTGGTGTCACAGCGGGAGGAACCAACAGTCGCAGAAGAGCACGCACACAGCCAGGTAAGGCGCTTCAGCTCGGGCCGGCTCGGCCACCGCGGTGTCGAAGGCCTGGCCACTTCGCCACCGGTGCTGTGCAGTGGTCTGGGGCTACAGTAGTGTGTGTTTTGCTATCCACATTGATGTGACTGATCTCTCTGAACGAGGGCTGAAGAGCGCACAATCCGGGTTATGTTGCCATTTCTCAAGCCAATTGTAATTGTATATTAGGTTTTCATTTCAGCTTGGTGCAGCGTCGTCTTGATCCGATGTCTTGCTGCTGTATTACTTTTTACAAGTCATTTGAAATGTAAGAACTATGGTTTCCTGCTAAACTAATCGATAATCAATGCGTCCATCTATCCATTTTCCTGGCTATTCTTCGAGGAATAATGCTAGCAATATGTCTTATCGATATAGATAACGCTCCTCGCAAATGCGCGTACCAGTTTACGAAAGTCCGCATCTGTGCCCGTTTCGGGGAGCGAAACAACTCAACCCCTTTCGTTGGGTGTGGGGATGAGCGTTGTGTTGAGAAATGAGGACACGGACTACAGGCCACAAAGTGCTGGAATAGATACATACCCGTGATGTTTCATGCCTCAAATATATGCATTGTTGCGTTATAATGTGTAATACCTCAACACATTTGGTTGCATTTGCCAGCACCACGTGGAAGCACCATCGTTGTTTGGGCTTAGCAGCAGTATGTTCGCGGTCTGACCAGTGACTTGTGTTGCAGCAGGTATGAAGGTCGTCGTTCTCCTGCTTGTGGTCTGCGCCTCCGTGGCCTGGGCGAAGCCTCTCTGCATCGGAGGCATCTGCATTCCTAGCGGTCAGGCCACTGGAGGGGCTTCGGGCACCGTCACCAGTGGCACCAGCAATACACCTGGTGGCACCAGCAAGGTTACGTCTGTCAGCTCCAGCGCAACGGTAAGTGCGCGGAAAAAAGAGCGCCGTCGAAGGGACACGCCTGAAAAGACATGAAATGGATTGATTTGGTTGTTCGCATTCCGATGAATGGAATGGAAATACATCATAGGTTATTCGCTCAGGCTAGCAAGCATTGTATGGATTCTGATAGACCGCATACATCGTTATCCCATTTCACTGAATTATTTTGTATTATTTATTAATTGCCCCCAAAATTCGGGTTAGCATGGCGAAACGTAAAAATGCATTCGTCGGTGAACTGGACTAAACCAAACTGCGTACATTCGGCAGTGTCATTTACATTTTGCCTTGTGTGGTCCAGCACGATTATTAAATACCCGCTTGGATCACCGCCAGATGTGTCCTCCTCCTTTACTTCGTGAAGCGGGGCATGGCATGCAATGCGCAGTGACCAGCGCATGGCAAGTATGGCGCTCGGTCTCCATATCATTATCGTATCATTATCTCAATATAATTATCAACATCGTTTCTTTTGCAGGGATCCGCCAGCGGGCCGTGTGCAAACAGCCACAACTCCGCACATGCCTCCAACAAGAACAAACAGGGACTGCTGGGCAATGCGGAATCAAGCGACACCGGAGCCGTCTCAAACCAGAGCACCGGCTGCTAAATGACTCAGTCGCAGTCATCTCGGCATGCGTCGCAATGGCACATGTGAAACGCTTGTTACGTCGACAGACATTGTCATATCGGGCGTCGGTTGTGACATGGAATCGTAATGTGCAATACAGGCTCATCCCCGACATGATTCAGCTCCAATGTGTTGGCGCTGACAGTGCCAGGTGATGTTTCTCCGTGGAAGACGCACCACAGGATGCACGACAGTTAATGGCGTGCAAAGACCAATAAAACGTACGTCACCCATATCTTGGGGTAGCATCTTGATCATGTATTCGATTCCACTTTAAGCACCAAAAACCTATAGAGATCATGTCATAGCTTATAGCTGACGCCAAGTACTGGGCTAAGCCCATTTTCAATACTCGATGCGAGTTGACGAGAACGTTGGACTTGGAGGAGGCAACCGCATTATATACGATCAAAGGCTGGGTGATTACCGATGTTCATGTTGTATAACGCACCATTACGGTTGGCATTTCGCTCCCAAGCATGTTCTGACAGCTCTAAACAAACGTAATGTAATGGCTGGCGCTCTGAAGGCGTGGGCAAATGCTTTGAGATTACAAAAACCATCAACACTAATTAGATGTATATCACACGCTGCTAAATAGCCGAAGTGAAGTGCAAGGAATACTGTTGTAAGCTTTGGATCTTATCGTTGAAGCGACCTCAGAACCCATCCACAACACCTAAAAAAAAATTGATGTCAAAACTATCAAACCGTTTGTTAGAATAACGCGTGGAACGGCTTTCAACAATGCTGAAAGCTAGCTCAGCGTTCAATGGAGGGACACGTCACCAAAACGTTGAGCCTATGTTCCCACGTTGAACTCTGTATTATGTTCGCCCCGAAAGTTTCATCTTACATATCTCAAAAAGCTGACACTCGAGCACACGAGCGAGCAGCCCAGGGGACGGAGGCATTGACACACCGGGGTGATGAAAGTCGCTCTCTCGCGCACGGGTGACAAAAGTGCCTTTTCCGCCATCGAACAACTTTCAAACCGTCTAATTGTCACCTGCAGCCGAACCTGTCAGAAACCGTTGCTACAGAACTCTAAATGCAATAAATCACAATACAGACAAACGTAATGCAATGCGGCATACTCATCAACCATATTTGTTTCGGTGGTTTATTTGCACTTACGTCAAATCTGTTGGCCTTTAAGCACTGAATGACGGCTAAGAGGTACATAATACAATTGTCAAAAAAGGCATGCTGAACATAACCAGCTTGAAGGAGTGTAGTTTTTTATTCAGCTAGAGGGAGTGAATTGTGCCTCTTGATCATGCATGTTGTTTCTTCTTGTTATTAATTCATTCCTCATCATATTTAGGACTTAGCCCACAAAAGCAATTTGAAGACACTACACTCCACATCCCGAATGGAAAAAGGCGCTTGAGATGTGCGGAGAAAACTGTTTTCAGTGTATTTTTGGAAGCATGCTGAGCAATTTTGTCTTGTGCCTCCCCCATCCTCCGTCCTTCATCCCGACGTATTTTGCAAAAATTTATCCCTGCAGCTCTGCATTTACAGACAGCTTGGTTCTACAAGCACCTAACAACAATATCACCCTTGGTTTGTGACGTCTTCCAGCAATCAACCGAGCGCGCAGGCGACCTACCTTACCTGCGTTTAAGCACTACCGGTAGAGAACTCACACTTCCTAACATGATCCGAATCATTTAGACCAAAACCCATGCAATATTGGTGACAACAGATGGGAACGACATTTTTCGACACCTCTACCACCTTCATTCATCTTTATCTGCAAGGTGATGAAAATAAAAAGCGTCTAATCTCACGTCTGTACACCGATCAGCACGCCAAGCCTGAGGTGCTACAGGCAATGTCAGAGGCCTTCAAATGTAATGCCCAGAGTCTTACCCCAAAGCCGCCGTTACCCTCAGCACCACAAAAGGTCAGGGTGTACTTTCCTACCTAACGTTAGAAAAAATCATTGTACACCATTCGTCGTGTTTAAGGCATGACATATCGTAAATAATCTCAAAGCAGGTAGAATCATGCTCCTACCTTCAAATTTCAATAACTTCGATGGCGGGCCCCCGAGCGCCGCGCGCACCGCACCGCCTGGAGTCCCCAGCGCCGTTTCCGCGTTGCCGTTGCGTAAATACAATATTTCTGCGTACCAAGAACTGTACAAAATGTACGGGACCAAAGTAAACCATTCGTCATGTTTAAGGCAGGACAACCATAACCTAACTGCGAACCATAAAAATATTTACTAAACATAAACCATATTTACCATAACCATATTTACCATATAAACCATATTAGCCGTGAACCATACTATAAACCATAACTATAACTATAAACTATACTATATAAACCATACTATAACTATAAACCATATTTACTGCGAACCATAAAAATATACCGGGACAAGGTAGCAAGAATCCATGAAATTTGATCCTCGACGCCAACGGGACCATGGGTTGCAGGGGGATTGGGTGGGGAATGTAAAGCAAAATGAGAACATGGCAGCTAAATATAAGCTCACTATATGGCACCTATATATGGCATGGAACATGGATGCCAATGAGATGCTGGGTTGAAGGGGATATAGGGTGGGGAGGTTAGGTTAGGTTAGGTTAGGTTAGGTTAGGTTAGGTTAGGTTAGGTTAGGTCAGGTCAGGTCAGGTTAGGTCAGGCCAGGTCAGGTCAGGTCAGGTCAGGCTAGCTTAGCTTAGCTTAGCTTAGGTTCTGGTCTATTCTCAGTTAGGTTAGGTTAGGTTAGGTTAGGTTAGGTTAGGTTAGGTTAGGTTAGGTAGGTTAGGTTAGGTTAGGTTAGGTTAGGTTAGGTTAGGTTAGGTTAGGTTAGGTTAGGTTAGGGTATGTTCTGGACTATTCTGGCCTGCATGTTTCATAAATGTACCTAAACTCGATAAGAAACGATTTTGGTTGCTTTATTATTGTTACCTTGGTCCCGTACATGTTTTATGGTTCTTGATAAGCAGAAATATTGTGCTTTCGCAACAACGTAGAAACGGCGCTTGGAAGTCGCGGCAGTGCGGTGCGGGGCGTGCGGCGCTCGGGAGCTCGCTATCGTATTTATTAAAATTCGAGGGTAGGAGCATGATTCCATCTGTTTTGAAATTATTTACGATATGTTCCGCCTTAAACACGACGAATGGTTTACCTTGGTCCCGTACATTTTGTAGAGTTCTTGGTGAGCAGAAATATTGTATTTACGCAACGGCAACGCAGAAACGGCGCTGGGGAGTCCAGGCGGTGCGGTGCGCGCGGCGCTCGGGAGCTCGCCATCGAAGTTATTGAAATTCGAAGGTAGGAGCATGATTCTACCTGTTTTAGGTGTAGGTGTACTTTCCTACCTAACGTTAGAAAAAATCATTGCACACCATTCGTCGTGTTCAAGGCGGCACATATCGTAAATAATCTCAAAACAGGTAGAATCATGCTCCTACCTTCGAATTTCAATAACTTCGATGGCGGGCTCCCGAGCGCCGCGCGCACATCACCGCCTGGACTCCCCAGCGCCGTTTCTGCGTTGCCGTTGCGTAAATACAATATTTCTGCTTACCAAGAACTCTACAAAATGTACGGGACCAAGGTAAACCATTCGTCGTGTTTAAGGCGGAACATATCGTAAATAATTTCAAAACAGATAGAATCATGTTCCTACCCTCGAATTTTAATAAATACGATAGCGAGCTCCCGAGCGCCGCACGCCCCGCACCGCACAGCCTCGACTTCCAAGTGCCGTTTCTGCGTTGTTGCGAAAGCACAATATTTCTGCTTATCAAGAACCATAAAACATGTACGGGACCAAGGTAACAATAATAAAGCAACCAAAATCGTTTCTTATCGAGTTTAGGTATATTTATGAAACACGCAGGCCAGAATAGTCCACAACATATCCTAAACTAGCCTAACCTAGCCTTACCTGACCTAACCTAACCTAACCTAACTGAGAATAGACCAGAACCTAAGCTAAGCTACGCTAAGCTAGCCTGACCTGACCTGACCTGACCTGACCTAACCTAACCTAACCTAACCTAACCTAACCTAACTGAGAATAGACCAGAACCTAAGCTAAGCTAAGCTAAGCTAAGCTAGCCTGACCTGACCTGACCTAACCTAACCTAACCTAACCTTACCTAACCTGAGAATAGACTAGAACCTAAGCTTAGCTAAGCTGACCTACCCTACCCTAACCTAACCTAACCTAACTAACCTAACCTAACCTAACCTAACCTAACCTAACCTAACCTAACCTCCCCACCCTATATCCCCTTCAACCCAGCATCTCATTGGCATCCATGTTCCATGCCATACATAGGTGCCATATAGTGAGCTTTTATTCAGCTGCCATGTTCTCATTTTGCTTTACATTCCCCACCCAATCCCCATGCAACCCATGGTCCCGTTGGCGTCGAGGATCAAATTTCATGGATTCTTGCTACCTTGTCCCGGTACATTTTTATGGTTCGCAGTAATGTTGTGACCCGAGCAGTAATGGCGCCGGTGTCGCGGGTGCTGTGTGTGTGCGGCGCTCGGGAGCTCGCCATCGTAATTATAAAAAAATTGAAGTTAAGATCATTAATCTACCTGTTTTGTGATTATTTACGATATGTCCTGCCTTAAACATGACGAATGGTTTACTTTGGTCCCGTACATTTTGTACAGTTCTTGGTACGCAGAAATATTGTATTTACGCAACGGCAACGCGGAAACGGCGCTGGGGAGTCAAGGCGGTGCGGTGCGCGCGGCGCTCGGGGGCCCGCCATCGAAGTTATTGAAATTCGAAGGTAGGAGCATGATTCTACCTGTTTTGAGATTATTTACGATATGTCATGCCTTAAACACGACGAATAGTGTACTATGATTTTTTCTAACGTTAGGTAGGAAAGTACACCCTGATCCTGTTTTGAGATGATTTACGATATGTGCCGCCTTGAACACGACGAATGGTGTGCAATGATTTTTTCTAACATTAGGTAGGAAAGTACACCTACACCCCACAAAGCCCCACGTGAATCTTTGACAGGCGTCGCTCCAGCGTCCTACGCTTACCTCTGGAGCTACAGCCGAGCTATTCATAAACAACAATTGTCCACCATCGGCAGGTCTTTTTAAAGCTATTACATTAA